AAAAAAAAAAAAAAAAAAAAAACGAGAGAGAAAAAGAAAAGAAAAAATGTTGCAAGGGGATATCGCTTGTATTTTAAAAGCGTATATACGCAGCGGGCGCAAGATCTTTTGACCTTTGAGCGCGTAACCTCCCGTTCAAACTGAATAAACTTGCATACGGAAGGTGTGCGACCCCGGTGGTCACAATGAAGTACAGGAACCACGCTTCCTGGTGCAATTTCAACCTTTTGTTACCATTATTTTCGTCATGACGTTTCATTCTATTTAACATTCCTTCGGTCTGATACCATGCATTGTTTTTCCAGCATGCGGAGAGAACCCTGTCCGATAATGTCCTCTCTTTGTGCATGAAACATTTCGTTCGGGAACGGCTTTTTTCCCACCTCTTTTCTTCTTTTCCTTTATTTTTCTGAAAGTATCGACGAGCCCGCGATTAAATGCAGCCGCATAAATACGATGACTTTACGATTCTTTGTTATTCATGACATTCTGGCGAATACGCCACTTTCCGTAGTATAGTTACCATGACGTCATTAGTCTTCTATTGTATTCGATGACACGTTTCTATCGAACTCGATACGGAATTATAGTCGCCAAGGGGGAATTGTAGATTACTCTGTAACGTTTCCTGGACGCATATTGCGAAATATATTTTCCAAAACCTCTCTATAAATTTCCTCGTGAAACCTTTCGAATCGATTCACCTACAAACGAATAAAAGATACTGTCGTTTAAAAAATTAATTATTCCGCCGGCGGATGATACGGCTACTATCTTTGTCCGTTTCCACGTAGATATGTATATATATATATATATACATATTTTTTTCATAGTCGTCACATACGAACGAAATTAAAGCTCAGGGCCTGCGATGCACACGCGCGCGTTTCAAGCATCGTATCATCGATCGTCTCCTTAAATGAAAGAAGTCCGGTTTGATTGCATCTCCAAGTGCATCGGGGCTAGAGAGATGAAGGGGGGAGGGTCAGGGAACATAACTACGCAAACAATATTTTCAAGTTGTAAATTTTCACATGTTCCTGCGATTTCCTTTTAGCGTATCGCGAGTTGCTACGCCACACATTCCGGCTATCGTATATGTACCATTCTCTGCTTCACTCGCACGTTTCTTCAAGAGGTATTTCTTTTATTCGCCAATTTTCACCCGTTCAATCCTAGAACTCTATAGAGAAACCAACGGGTCTGTTCGTTCTTCGAGTGTTCTTGAAAAATGAAATACACTAAGCGCAAGAGTCCCCGCCCTTCTACGCCACTGGAATAGCCCCTATATAATGTGTATAGAATAATGAAAATACCGCGATCAAATCAGCAACGTGGCAACGTCTACGATGGTAAAAGAACCTACCAGGTTTGTACACTCTGAAATAAAAAAATTTTCGGCTGTACGACTCTGTTGTGCAGAGTAAGCTTTTACCTGCATTTTCATTGCGTTACACCAATGCGAAAAGCCTTCTGTACACACGGCCCACATGGAACGGTGAAAAGGATACGCACAGGGGTCTTGATAGTTCAAATGCTGAGTTTGCAATCGATTAGCGATTCGAATAACGCTCCAGGTATCCCAAGTGTCAATTCTTTCGCAGAGCATACGTTCGAATGTCCCTAGACCTGTCAAAATCAATCGGTATTGAAGAAAAGAAGGCCAGATGTTCCAAGTGCCAAAAGAGGAGCGTAGATATTGCAGCAAGTACGGAATTTAATGCACTTCCGTTCTTCTTTCATGTCTCAATCGATATTTGGGGGTTCAACGTCACGATGCATGATCATTTTTTTCCTCCCCTTCGATATCAGCAGTATAATTTCACGAATGAAAAAGAAATTGACGAAATAATCTCATTTCTTTGTTTAAATTAAGAGACTGCCAAAATGTTACAGAGATATACTCTCAATAAAAGTTCAAAGTTTCCTTTGTAAGAGCCTTTAACCTTGAGTATTGACATTAGCATTGACCTTGCGCGAAGAAGTTGCGCTTTAGAGTTAAAATAATTTCACAAACTTTGGATTTCATTAAATTTTCAATTTAATTTATTGTTGTTTAAATGTACCGACACGACGGAGATTTTATTGAAATCGTTCCTAAATGTACGAAAAGGATATTTGTCAGAGAGGAAGTAACAAACAACTTTAAAAAATTATAAATTAAGGGTCCGAACGTATAGCTACCGATGTTACAAAAGATACAATAAATATTTATTACCTTACGATACGTAATAATTTTCAAGCTTATGTCCATAAATTTCCAATGTTTCGAAGGATTTCGCAAGATAAAGGCTAATTCATCCGTCTTCTATTTGTACAACCATTTTATTGCTAGGCAATCGCATTGAAATATTTCCTAGAAATCTAACCATTTTATTGGACAGCGCTTATGGTAAGATATATCGTTCTTTCAAAATTAGCCTTTAAGTATTTTGTAAATTGCGGATATTTTTAAAATAGCATACTTTTCTTGTTGTTAGAGTTTTTATTCAGAATCCACTTATATTTATTACATTATGAAAATTAAATTATCAGTGTAAAGTTAAAAAACCCCCCCCCCCGATTGTCAGCGATCGATGCTGCCATCTGTACTTTGCACGATGCGTTGTTCACCTTCTATTGAAAAGGCATGACTGAAATGCCGCAGTGTTTGTACGAAATCCCTTCAAAAGTGCTATTTTAAATTCGTAAATATCAAATGTGAGTCGCGAGTTTGTGTTGTGTATACTATGTATTATTTAGACGTTTCTTTGTTAGTACATTCATCAGCTTTTAGATTTTCGTCTATACACGTGTGACTTAACCTAGATTTCGAGAACTATCTATGAATAAAGTTTAAAGTTCAAAATTAAATATCATTAAATATATGAATTACTTATGCTGTTTTCAAAAAATATTCTTTACATTTCATTCATAATATGCATTTGTCATACTTTTATGATTTTATCACACTCGTTTCCTACGCAATCTGACGAAATCATTTTTCGTTTGCAGGGATATTTGTCATTTGTTTTTCCACACATAACTGCAATCGTTGCACTTTGCGTGTATAACCTCTTTATATTCAGAGTATGTTTTTTAATTTGCAGAATACTGCCAGATAGTCCTTGTTTTGACTTTACGGACGTCTATCTGAAGAAGAACATTCTTCAATCCGTAAAGCAATTATTTGGTGAAGAAGGAATCAAGTCTACTATAGACATCCTGAAATATAATTCGAAAGAACGCAGATGTATCTTAAGGTGCACTGATGAATCTTATGTACGTCTGAGAGCAGCTTTAACTGTAGCTGGGAAATACGAAGGACAGGCTTGTACCTATATTATTCACCGTGCCTCAGCAAATTTATTATCATTCAGTGCAGACAGTCGAAATTATCAACATTAAAGTACAAAGATTTAGAACAAATTAAAAAATTTAACCCAATTCATTCTTATATTTTTTTTAAGAAAAAAGTTGATTTTTTGCCTTCTATGTTCTTATTAATTAGTCAATAATGCCATTCATCCACAAAGATGGTAAAGATACTATAATCTTTGCTTCAAAGGAAGATCATGCAACACCTAGTAAAATAGAACTTCCAGAGCCAGAACCAAGTCCTGGTCTCTTATTATCCAGTGGTGAGATCAATTGGAACTGCCCTTGTTTGGGTGGTATGGCTACTGGACCATGCGGTTTGGAATTCCGCGAAGCCTTTTCTTGTTTTCATTATTCAACTGCGGAACCGAAAGGTTCAGATTGTTACGATGCATTTAAAACTATGCAAACGTGCATGGTACAGTATCCAGCATTGTATGGGAAAAAAGAAGGATCTTTAGAGGATCTAGAAGATGAAGACCCAATGGAAGAGCATGCAAAAAATTTAGAAGTGGACAACAAAGGTTCCCATTTAGAATCAAAAGTGAAAGAGTTACCTCATACATCCAGTGTGGAAACGGGAATAGAACAATCCAATGCCAAGTGAATGTTTGTGAATAAATAATTAATGTATTTGTATAGTATAGGTAGAATAAATTTTTCAGGACTTAATGAAACAAGATCTCTGAAGTTTATGAATAAGGGATAGGTTGTGCAAGAAAGCATTTTTGTAAAAATAAAGTACTTCTAAATGCTGCTTTCTACTTACCTGTTTTTTAACCTATTTAGTACAATAATGCACAATTGGTTGCATCAGTTTTCTTTTTTCATTTCAAAATATTTGTACATCGTCACAGACATATCATTTTTCATTTCTTCCCTTTTCAAATTAAAACGAATTACCAAAATGTACAATTAAGTAAATTTTATTACGCATTTTTGTACTTCGAATTTCAGTTCATTGTACATACTTTGTATGTAGTAAACAATAAATAGTTCCTAGAATTGATATATCACTCCCCTTCCCTTCACTCGTGACGCACAATTTAAAAAGAGAGATAATCTCTTTTTGTGACTGATATCGAGTTTTGAATATCTTACTTTGTCGCGCGGCGACAAGATGGTTGACGTCACGGCCGTTCGATGGCGGTGCAGTCATTCTCTACGAGGAAGACTGAACCAATGGTGTGACGTCAACGACCTCCCCTCTTCCGTTCCAACCCTTTGGACAGTTGGCTCGTGTATACAACCTCTACCACCACGCCGCGGTCGTTTACCACCACCACTGTTGTACCGAATCTCACTACTACTAATACTAATACTACTACTACTACAAGCTCCACCATCGTCATCGTCATCGCCATCACACCATGAGTTTGGCGTTCGTCGAGCGTTTCGTACGGACAGAGAACCAGCGATGTGTTTTCGTTTCGTAACGTTGATGGAAGTAACTAAACACAGGTGACGTCGCGTACCGTGCGGAGAACGTATGTTGGTGCATCGATTTCGATAACGGGGGAACACGAGAGAGTTGGTGCGAGCAAAGTACGGGAGAGACAATCAGAACGAGGAATTTCGTGACGAACCGTGTCGGACGTTCGTAAGTTGGATACGTTCCTTGGCAGTGACTGAGAGTATCCCAAAGTGTCGTAGAGACCATTTGCAGAAACTTTCTCTCGAAATTTTCGCCTAGAACCATGGACCCACCGAAAAAAGAGAAGAAACACAAGGAGAAAAGAAGGTGAGCGAAACTGTGTGTAAATTAAAGCCCAATGCCGCCCGTATGGATATTACTTTGCTTCTGCCTCGAGCTTTTGTCTGATTTTCACGAGGGAATTTCAAGCATGTTTGTTAAGCAAGGACGTTCTACCTTGTTCGATCGCATGATTGTTCGTAGAGCCACTGTTTGGCTCTTGGAATTCATGAACACCAAAGGCAAATTCAGTGTATCGCGCGCGCGCATGTCGCGTTCAGTATGCGTGAGTGAGTGCGTGCATGTTGACGCAATCGCGTTTCCTCCGAGCGGTATCTCTCTCTCTTCTCTCTCTCTCTTTCTCTCTCTCGTACTCTTTTTGTTCCTTTTTCATCGCCGATATTTTTTTCTCCCCACTTTTCGTTACAAGATTACTTTTGCCTCTTCCCTCTAATAATCCGATCTCTTTTCATTCGCTCTTCAGCTACGAGCTGGATAATCAAAGTAAAAAAATAAAAAAATATTTTCCGTACTAGGAAAATGCAGAGGTATTTCATCCGGTTAAGATGTAACTTTGGTTTTTACGTGGCAGTAGCGTTATATCGATAAAACCCGCGGTGGTCTCGAAAATCTGGGCGTGGATTTAGCGATTTCTCTTTTTTTCTGTTCAAATTGCGCGCCATTCGAACAAAGTTACATGCATTCAAGTACCCCCTGGGTAGTAATTCCATTCTAAGGCCAAAGTGCGAGCTTTCTCGCCTTCCCTGTGCGTTGTATTGTATCGCAATAGAAAAGCAAGCTATACTGTACATAAATCGTGCTGCGTATTTGTTTTTCCGGCTTTTTCCACGCAAGGTATTCATTCTAATGACGAGGATCGTACTGTATACATATTTACTTGCTGGAACAGCAACTATTTGTATTTGAACATAATACGTTTGGAAATTAAGAAATAGGAAATAGCGTGTAACAGTGTCATAACCTAAAAATTTGCCGTGAAAACGTACGTGTATATACAGTACTGCGATATTATATTTCCTCACCAGTTTTCAAGATGTGAAATTCTCGTTCGAAAGTTGCGCACGTACGTGACGAATAAATCGGAGCCGATCATAAAAATAGTTGGATCGTTTTCTCGGAACCATTAAAATTTAGATAAATCAAGAGCGCTAGTGTCACGCGCCGCATCGTGTATATACGTATATATGTATGTTACGTATATGTATCATACGTATATGTGTATATACGTATGTTAATTTCGAACAGTATAATCAAAGAAACTACACGGAGATAAAACTGTTGTTCTCATCCGTATTTACATGTATGTCAATTCTGTGGTTTTTCCACAGATGAGTATGTCTGTATTTTCCTAGTGTTTTTTTTTTTCTTTTTTTTTTTTACTTTCAGAGATACAATTGAACGGTAAGAACCAAACTATAGGACACATTAATAAATTAATTTCTATGGACGAACCAATCAACGAACGATCAATTGTTGCTTGACGATGAACATTAGTTATCGTATCTCAATCGTTGTAGCGTTTGAAAGATGCTCCTACACATGTACATCGATATACGAATACGCAAACGTGAACAAACGTAATAGCGTGTTATTACATGAATTCATAATGACGGTTCGGTTTTTCGTATAACCTCATTTGGAGTAAAGGGAGAACTCTCTCTGCTTGAGGCTATACGTATATAGATATATGTGTTTCCCTTGTGCGACGCACACCAAAGAGATGATCGCTCGTTCGGTAGTATATTCATATGACGAGCAAACATGCGACCTTCTGGAAACTTTCTTTTCCCGATTAGTCCCGTATATTAACTGATTGTCTATAGGAACTATCGAATTTCAAACTATTTTTAGCAGCCTATTGTAGTGTAACAGTTGCATGTATTTTTCAAATACACGTCAATTATAGGAAACTTTTTCTTTACACTTGTTGTTGATCTGATCGATTTCTACGTATTGAAATGATTAAGAGTAATGAAAGATACCTGCATATCTTTGCATAAGATGGGACATTCATTTTCTATCCGTTGTTGAATAATTGAATTCAACGATTTATAAGTGGGAATTAATCTGGGATTGAAATGATTCAACAGAGCTTATTTTTGACGTGTTTATGAAAAATTTTAAGTCAACTCTGTAGATTGATCACAAAGCTTTTATATGTTTTTTTATGAAAGATTTACAACTGCTCATTAACTATTCAGAATCAAGTGTCCTTTGTGAAAAGTTTTAAATTCAATGGATTGAGCACAAAGATTTTATATATTTATTTCTTTATGAGACATTTACAATTAAAAACAAATTAAGCATATTGTGCTAACGAACCAGTAACTATACAGAATCAAGGTATTGCTTATGAAAGATTCTAAATAGAATTTATAGATTAAGCACAAAGATTTATATATATATATATATATATATATATATATATATATATTTCTTTATAAAACACTTACAACTAAAAGTAGGTTAAGCACATTAAGAACAAACCATTAACTGCTCAGAATCAGGTGTCGTTTATGAAAACTATTAAATAGATCCCATAGACAGAGTTTAAAGATTTTCTATACATTATTTATAAAACATAATTAAAAACAAGTTATTGTGAATGAATCATTAACTATTCAGAATCAGGTTGTTTTGTTGTTTATGAAAAGTTCTAAATAGAGTCTATAGAGTCTATAGATCACAAAGGTTTTATGCACTTCCTTATGAAACATTTACAATTAAAAATAGATCAAGCACGGTTGTGAATAAACCATTAGTTGCGGAGAATCAGGTGTTGTTTATGAAAACTCTTAAATGGATTAATCCATAGATTAATCACAAAGGTTTTATCTACTTCCTTATGAGTCATTTACAATTAACAACAGATCAAGCACACTGTGAATAAACCATCAACCACTCAGAATCAGGTGTCGTTTATGAAAAGTTTTAAACAGATTTCACAGATTGATCACAAAGCTTTTCTATGTTTTTTTTTTTTTTTTTAAATAGCTTAAACAAATTGCTACTGAACGATTAACTACTCAGAATCAAGTTAAGCGACAGATTTTTCAAACAAAGCGGATGGCACGTGATACCGCCCGTTCCTCGGTTTTGATTCATTGTGATTCAGCGGATTGCAAAATCGCGAAAGCGTGGAGAATACGTCCATCTGTTCTAATTCGATCTGATCCGTTCCAAAGATATTTCACAATAGCCACGGTCGAACTCACAAGATTAAATGCCTCTGAAATCATGATAGAATTGGAAGAAAATTTGACTTCTTACGCAAGCCGATTTGACTTCTTGCTTTCGAGAAAATCGAAAATTCGTATCAGGTACATGTAGGTTTCAACACGTTTGAATTTGGCTAATATCCGAGGCTAGTTAAAATTGGAAAATATCTAGGTTTCTCGCTTACCAGATGTTCCAACAAAGCTTCGCGTAGTGCTTTTTAATCTAATAGATTATCGGATTCATTTGATATCGGCTTCCACTGATTCGTTTCGACGTAAACATCAGGCATTTTTAGGCAAAATCGGCTGATTTTTCGAAGATCTATAGTAGAAGGGAGACTAACGTAATTGGAAGATCAATCGTGATAGGCCGGTGAACGAAATCGAGAGAAGCTGGTCAACCGCGATTGGTAGTATCGTTATCGTCGAAAGATAACCATCGTTCCGAGTGTTCAAGACAACAAGGTTTTGTGTTCTCTGGTTCTAGTATCGCATGAGACGTCGAGTCAGCGAAAATTCAATCCTACCGAGAACGATTTCCAAGTGCGTTTCTAGACGAGGCTGAATGAGAATGTCGTCTGGCTGCGATCGTCCGCAGGATACAGTCTTGCACGAGATTGGACATGTTACAGTTGTGCCAAATACGACACGCGTATGTTCTCCTGTGTTTTAATCGGCCATACGTGCGATCGTTCGTTTGACAGCACGCGCCAATCGACCAAAACGAGTCTTCGAAGCAGAAAGAAAAGCCGCAAAGCTGAGAGAAGTGGTGGAAATATATACGTAGGAAAAGAGGAAAGTCAAATGAGGGCGAATAGCTTGTACGGAGTTAATCTCTCGCAGTGGTGAAGAGTGATAGAGGAGAGAAGAGAGAATCGAAGAAAGGAACGCGCGTGGCCACTTACAGCAGCAGCAGCGTTTCGTGATAAGAGAAAGAAGAAAAGAAAGATCGCGTCAGAGGAATAGGAGAAAGGGAGAAGAGGGAAGGTGCACACATGGCAGAGAGGGGGAAGTAAAATCAGGCCAAAGTTTTATTTGTCGTCGCTTGATCATTGACGTAGTCGAACTAACGGTGAAGAAGAGGAGGCGTCTGTGACGTCTCGACTGATCGTAAAAATCAGGATTCTCGCCGGGTACATCTTTTTTCCTGAACCGGTTGACCCTTAAGGTTCATCAGCGATCGGCGAAGCGATCGAGCCACGATGATCGCGCCACGTGTCCAGCCGATCGGTACGCTGCCCGACGATGAGCCCGGTCGTTGCTCCAGCTGGATTGCCAGACAGCCGGGCCATGCAAACTTTTATGACGACGATCGACCCACTCTACCGTCTTGCCGATTCGCTCGTGCACAGATCCAACAATCCCTTCCAGTCAGCGACTATCGCTCGCTTAATCCCTGCGCGGAGAGATCTTACGACGATCGACGCGGGGATCCGACGTTCGAGTCGCTTCCTTATCAAGCTTCCCTGCCGTGCGCGGAACCGTCGGCCTCTATCGAGCAATTGCAATCTCAATTGCAGCCGCCGCAGTGTAGCCAGTTTCGTGACTGTGCGCAAAATCTGGTGCACGGGGGCGGCAAGAGCTGCCAGCTGGGCCCGATTGACGTCGAGGATCTAGCTCTGTACTTCGAGCCCGACAAACCGCCCTCGATCAATTGCCCTCCGCGTGTCTATCGGCCATCGTCGTCGTCGTCCGACTCGTCCAACTTTCGTCGAGCAAAGTCGACGAGGTACGGTCCCTATCCAAGTTTGGCCAGCGGCTGCAAACCACTCGAGCGATCTGGATTTTCGTCCAGCGACGAGCTTCTGTTGCCCAGCGTGAATTGGCTCGACGAGCGTGAATTCTGCGACGATTGTCCTCAACCGTTCGCATTTTGCACCGAGGAACGATGGCTCCAGTGTCCGGCGAGCGACCGTTGCCCTCTGTACGACACCGCCTACACCCATGGACAAAACGTCCTGCCACCGTGCCTGCTCGAGGACCTGCGAAACGAGTGTCGGTTCCGATACGGATGCGACGAGGACGAGCAGCTACTCGAAGATTATTTGTAAGTGCTCGGTTCACCGGGCAGTACGAGTTCGAAGTTTCGTTTCTTTTTCTTTTTTTTTTCTTTTTTTTTATTTGTTTGCTACAGGATAGGGTACATACGTATGTCTCTTCAATCGCAGTTCGTTCCGATAACGTAGACCGTATGAATGTCAAATAGCAATAGGTGTTGGACTTCCTTGTTTGAGAATTTTATTCCAGTATCCCTCTGTTGCTCGTCAACGATAAACGCGGATTTTCTCGTATTTGCGCGGAAATGTAAAAATGCAAACACGCGTAAGCGCAATTGTAATATTTATTCACTGGATAATATTAAATCTCTGTTTGCGCAGATCCTGCTTCGTCGTCGCCTGTGTGTGATTCACAAAAGCGCAAATATCCTTAGTTTTCTTCTTTTTTTTTTTTTTTTTTTAGCGATCGGAAGATTAAACGAAACACGCGAGCATTTTGTTCCACGACGATGGCGCCAAGTTCCATGATCGTTCCCAGGGAATTTCTGTGTTTAACGATTTTGATAAGAGGCCGATCGCTTCGAAGGGGAAACCATGGTAGCATTTTGAAGGAACGGATAAAAAAGCACCGTTCGAAGGTCGTTTTGTACGAAAGATAACGACCGTTTCGAGATAGCCGGGACGTGACGAGACGTCTGTTCGATGTGAATCTCACCTTCGCCCTATATTCACGCCATTCCGTTTTACAATGACTGACGTTTAATATTCGACGCTGAAACATTGAAACTGTCGCGAAATTTTGTCAAAGCTAGCGCAACGATATGAACTTGGGCTTATCTTGAAGTTGGAAGCATCGAAATGAGCTTTTTTTCACAGAATGTGTCGTTCATTTTATTCTCGAATGTTTTTATATGACGTAACGATGGATAAATGAAGATACTCAATTGTAATCGTAAAGACATTAAGAAATTTTTTCACGACTCTTGAATCGACGATGAATTTGAAGATTGAAAATTCCACTTTACAACGATCGCTTAAAACTTACTGTACGATTTTTTTTTTTTTTTTGTCTTTTATTGACCTTTATTTTATTTTGTTAATTTATTGAACTTTGAACATCGGGCGAAAAAACGACAATTTCTTGAATTTTCGTCATTAATATCCGTAGTTCAATAATCGTGATTCAAGGTTCGAAGGGTCGTTGTAAAGAGGAGGCTTCGATCTTTAAACCCATTGCAAATTCAATCGTGAAAAATATTTTTCAACATTTTCACGTACTGTGACAGTTTATGATATTTTCGAGAAGACAAATGTCTTTAGTTTTCCTACCTGACATGTTGCCTTCAGAAACATTGAAAGATTTCCCTTGGAACTGAATTTACAACGGATTTAAAGATCGAAGCCTCCTCTTTACAACGAGGCCTCTAAATTACGATTTGCTCCATTTCATTGTACAACATTTTGAGTATTAGACAAAAATGAATACAACGACGAAAATGTCGCTATTTTATGATAATATTTTAGAATAAAATGGACAAGCAGAGGCTCCAAATTCAAATTTTTATTATCGTACGATCTCTTTTTGAATAATTATAAATTTTGCTACATTTATTTTATAAAGCGAGTCCAAATTTTTATTATCGTACGATCTCTTTTTTGAATAATTATAAATTTTGCTACATTTATCTTATAAAGTGAGTCCAAGTATTTTATTATCGTACGATCTCTTTTTGCATAATTATAAATTTTGCTACGTTTATCTTATAAAGCAAGTCCAAATTTTTATTATCGTACGATCACTTTTTGCATAACTATAAATTTTGCTACATTTATCTTATAAAGTGAGTCCAAGTATTTTATTATGGTACGATCTCTTTTTGAATAATTATAAATTTTGCTACATTTATCTTATAAAGTGAGTCCAAGTATTTTATTATCGTACGATCTCTTTTTGCATAATTATAAATTTTGCTACGTTTATCTTATAAAGCGAGTCCAAATTTTTATTATCGTACGATCACTTTTTGCATAACTATAAATTTTGCTACATTTATCTTATAAAGTGAGTCCAAGTATTTTATTATGGTACGATCTCTTTTTGAATAATTATAAATTTTGCTACATTTATCTTATAAAGTGAGTCCAAGTATTTTATTATCGTACGATCTCTTTTTGCATAATTATAAATTTTGCTACATTTATTTTATAAAGCGAGTCCAAGTTTTTATTATCGTACAATCTCTTTTTGAATAATTATAAATTTTGCTACATTTACCTTATAAAGTGAGTCCAAGTTTTTATTATCGTACGATCTCTTTTTGCATAATTATAAATTTTGCTACATTTATCTTATAAAGTGAGTCTAAGTATTTTATTATCGTACGATCACTTTTTGCATAACTATAAATTTTGCTACGTTTATCTTGCTACAGTCAATCGTCGTCGGTCATTCCGACTTCGAATTTCGGATAACGTGGGGTGATCATGCATTTCCACGATCGAGCGTTCAGATATACGTACATACCGTTGTCATCTCGTTAGGAATCACAACCTTTATCTAACAGCACGATCGTTGTTTTCGTAACTTCGAAACAGTCGATCGATCACGTCACATTACGCAATGGAGGTTGGAAAGAAACGTCGATCCGTCGATCAGATATGTTTCTCGTTTAATTCGAAAGCGTTTAACGAAATTGCGAAACTACTTGAGTAATTGATACGAAAAATTTCCCTTGGACACGGGAATTGTAGATCGCCACGCTGTTCCAAATCGGGGCCTCTCAAACTTTGCCACTTTATGCAAATATTTTCGCAACTCTGGGTACAGAGGTATATAAACTGTCTTTTAGGAATTAAAGCATTTGCTAATGATAAATCGTAAGGAAAATTTGTCAAATTTATAAAATTATTCGAGGACTATTCCTCGGTATATATATATACTAATCTTTTGGTAAAATTTGCTCAAACTTAACAGTTACCCCAGTTATGAAAATTATAAATGAAAGTTACTAAACTTATCTTAATCTAATTTAGTAAATTTCGTATTCTGGACGAATAGTAGAGGCTCGTTTATTTGCGAGTTTGAAAGAAAAAGGTACACGGAGTAACGGAGTGGATTGAGCGTGAATTGAACAGGGAATCGAACGTTTTCGCGTGTTGCAGGAGCAACGAGAAGAGGAAGGAGAAGTCACGGGACGCTGCACGATGCCGTCGAAGCAAGGAGACGGACATTTTCACGGAGTTGGCTGCCGCTCTTCCGGTGCCACCGGAACAGGCAGCTCATTTAGATAAGGCCAGTGTCATGAGACTAGCAATCGCCTATCTCAAAGTTCGTTCCGTGGTCGATTCCAGTAAGTATTTATTTACATTCTGATCCTCTTCTTCGCTCGAAGTTCGAAAGCTCACACTACTATCTCAGCTTGCTTCTTGCTTTAGTTCCAGGAACGGTGGCCAAGTCCGAAACGTTGAATCAGATGGACGAGTTATTTTCCAAAGCTCTGAACGGGTTCATGTTGGTATTGTCCAGCGATGGAAACATGATCTACCTTTCGGAGAATGTCAGCGATTATCTCGGTGTCTCTCAGGTGCGTTTGCCGGTCCGGTGAAGAGGGTAGAAAGGAAGGAAGGGAGTGGATCACCTGAAAGGATTCGTTCTTGCTCGTTTCAGATGGACATGATGGGTCAGAGCGTGTACGAGTATAGTCACCCGTGCGACCACGAGGAGCTGCGGGAATGCCTGTCCTCGAAGCCGCCCGAGAACAACGACAAACGCACGTGCAGTTTCTTCCTGCGGCTTAAGTGCACGTTGACCAGCAAAGGAAGGAAGGTCAATCTGAAAAGCGCTTCGTACAAGGTTAGGCTTTGCGAGAAAATACGTCGAAGGAACTTCGTCGAGCAAACACGAACAAAAAGCGATTGAGAGAGATATTTGTCGATTACGCAATGTGTCCTTTTCTGTGTCAGGTGATTCATTGTACCGGTAGGTTGACATACATCCGCGATCCAGCGTCGAGTCGATCGGAGAACGAGGCGAACGAGGACGCGGAGCAGAAAAGCGACGACGAGGAGAACGAACGTGACACCGGCGCCTCGTTGGTGCTGCTTGGATGTCCCATACCGCATCCCAGCAACATAGAGATACCTTTGGGACGTCACACGTTCCTCTCGAAGCACAGCCTCAGCATGAAGTTCACGTACGCCGACGAGAAGTGAGTGCAGGCTATGAAACGACGGTGTCAAACGCTCGCGTAGAGTGATGTTTTTCTTTTTTTACGTTTCTTTCCTTCTTATTCTCAACCCGATAGGTTGGCCGAGTATCTGGGCTGGGACAGCGAGGAGCTAGTTGGACAATCCGTTTTCGAGTTTCATCACGCCCTCGATAATTTGGCTCTGGACAAGTCTTTCAAGTCGTGTGAGTAGACGCCAATTGACGGCCATTTGAATAAGAAGCGGTCGTTCACCACCCACTCGCTGTTTGCATTAGCACGCGTGCGAAAAAAAAAAAAAAAAGAGAATGAAGGATTTCCACGTGTAACGTCCTAATTCGAGTGAAATATAAATTCGTGCGTTCTTTTTATTTTTGAGAATAAAGCAGACGACGTTTCACAAAAATTTCAGACAGACTTCCTCTCAAATCTCGAAAAGGAGATTTAACTTTTGAAAAATAAAGAGATCTAGCTGTTTTGTTTTTTTTTTTTTTTTTTTCGAGCGGAATATCCTCTGGAATTGCCCCTTCCGGTCGCAACGTTTTGCATCTAACACGGCATCGATCGATGTACATGACCGCCATGGAAATAAAAAGAAAAGGTTAAATCGTGGCTGCTGGATGGGAGGAGGGTGTCGGTTAGTTTCGGGTTGAACGACATCATAAAAAGAAGGATTTCAAGGGTAGCAATCCTCTTAACGAGGATTATTTTAGGGTCTGGCGCGTTTTACGTGTTACTATATTTAATTGGTAGCTAGGACCAACAACTGTTGTTGCGTGTTTTAGCTTCGTTTTATCGGAAGGATAACGTATAAAACGATACGTTTTCAGCGACGGTCAATCATTTTTATTTGTTCTTCAAATTTCCTTGAAAAAGAAAAATTGAGTTAGGCTTCTTACTATTGTAGAGATTCTGGAGATTCTGCGATCGGATCTCTCTGATCTCGCCTCTCTCGTTTCTCCGATTTACGCGAAGGGACCAGTGACACGTGCGCTCGCGATAACCTTCGAAGAACCATCTAAAAACCGTGCGTAAATCCCGATAAGCCGATCCGTGACTGTTATAAAAATTTACGGTGAAAGTGTCGAGTAATCGTCGATCGGTTTACCGGATAGAAGCGAGAAGCGTTCGAGAAATTTTGCTTCCTCTCGCCTGGCTGATGCATCAGCGTCAATGATACATCGACAAATTGCACAGATTTTTGTAATTCTGTCCGTCTCTACGTAGCTGTAATTAATTCCGCTATTGCCTCACGTTGCTCGATCAAAATTTTTCACGTTCACGCGCGAGAAATCGAAGGTGGGGAGAGATTGGCAATTCTGGCGCGAAACTTTCGTCATCCAGGATGCGTTGCGTGCGCAATGTCGACGCCACTTTATATAGGGCCAGGGAGGCCGCGTGCACCAAAGAGTTCGAAACAGATTCGCGAGCATCCTTCGCAACATCATCTGATATAACCTGCTTCGGCTGCTTGTTTCAGTGTTCAGCAAGGGACAGTGCGAGACAGTGGCGTACAGATTCCTTGGGAAGCGAGGCGGTTACGCGTGGGTCGTGACACAGGCGACCCTGATCCACTGCACGAAACAGCAGAAACCACTGTCGGTCGTCTGCGTGAATTACATTCTAAGGTAGGATCTCACCGATCGATCTCTCGTCGTTCACGTCCGTCTGCATGAAAAGATTGTCGCACGGAGTATCTTCCACTTCCGCTTTTGTTTCTGTGTGTGTGTCGCATGCTTACACTCATGAAAGAAAGTTTCCCCCCTCCGATTGTTTAAGATGGAGAAACGAATCAAAAAGGTCGAATGAAAAAAAAAAAAGAATCTGAATTTTCATTCATCTCGTTTCAAACGAGAAACGAGCATTGTCTCACACGGAATGACGGAGAGAAGCGTATATCGCGTGCTTTTCTCTTTTTAATCGAAAGTTTCACTTCGATTTGTCTTCCAATTTGTCGGCCCTCGTCAGATCACGCGTTTCTCGTTCAGCTTTCTTTTTATCTAGACGAAACGAATCCCGGCCCACGGGTGCTAATCACGCAAGGTAAGTGGCTCTTTCATTTTTTTTTTTTTTTCTTTTTTTCTTCTTGCATGCCGACTTTGGATTTCGTTTATCGGCTGGAATCTGACGTCCATTTTCCTCCTCGCTCCTGCCCCCTCGTTCTTACGGAAGATACTTCTGACCTGCCAACGACTTCTCCGCCTTGTGTCTCCGTTTTATGAGGCGGATTTGTCGCGAAGATCGAGAGTCAGCTTTCGTCCCCTTTTTATTTACGTCCTGCGGCTATATAGGGAATTACAGAGATCGTCGTCCTCTGTACGTAACGTATACCGTGCGTTTTCGAGAACTTGCGTCAGATTTTCGGGCACGTACTTGCGATCAACGCGTATTGTCGAGAGTTGGGGAACGATTGTGGATGGCAAAAGGATAAAAGGTAGTTTCCTTCTCACAATTTACCGTCACACTGCGTTACAATTTTATTGTGTGACAATTTCGGCCGACAAAACTGTTTTTTCAACCACTTGCGGTGGCAACTGATTGCGGACCATAACGAGTGACCAACACCGTACATATACAATAATTCGTCGCTTTCGTTTTCTTTTTGAACTCGTCGGTACGATATCGCCGGACAGAAATTATCGAGAAGCAATATAGGCGAAATTGATTATCTGCTTTGCCTATTTTGTTTTTTACTTTAAATGTGTACTCCAAAACTGAGGAAATATTACAATTTTGGGACAAAGATGCTAGCAAATTTAGTAAAGATGGCACATTTATTTTTTGCAATGGAAGTAGATTTTTCAACTGTTCACATATATGCGATCAAAGGCGTGAAGAGGTTAATTTTGTGAGAAATCTAGCCGAGACGAGATAACTTCGAGAGAATTCCAGGCGTGTGACGCGCGCGCGCGAATTACACGTTCTTTCTGCGAAACGTAGAAAACCGGCGATTGTTAGCGATAATAGAGGCGTTAACTACGATGCCACGTGGCGACCGTGAGCTGGCAGTGAACTAGGCGACTTTTATTCATTAACATGAATCAAACTCCGCTACTATATCGTAACAGTTTAAAAATCGTTGGAATAAAAAAAGTTAAAACATTCAAATTAGTTAAAATATTAATACACTAGAAATACAAACGGAAATCGTGGGATTAGTTAAAATAGTTTGAATAAAAGAATCAAAACATTTACTCAAATCGATTAAAATATACTAGAAATAGAATATGAAAATAGAATTCAAACTAATCAAATTCGAACTTAAATTAAAATACTCGTTTCTTCAAGAATTAAAATACTCACCGTGTTATCTTTCAAATGAAATTTTGTTACATAACTAATCTTTTTTTAATATTTTTAATTGCGAAACAATTATACACAATGACCGGATATCTTCATTTGAACAAAGAGAAACAAAGATGACACCAGAATCTATTTTCAACCAGAGACTGAAAACCGAAATACTTTGAGGTTTAGGTATTACACCCAGAGACTGAAACCGAAATATTGTGAGGTATTATACCGGTTTTTGCTCCCATATTATCGTAATACAACCGCTATTTGGAAGATCGGTTTTAATACCGGTATAAGACGGTCGTACCGGTATTTTCATACGTATTTTATCGGTATTTGATGTCAACAACGGTAAAAATACCGAAATATATATCGGTACGGTACCGCTTTACTGGCGGAAACACATTTTTCATTTTCTACGTACAGTGACTCTTATTAATATTCGGACATTATGCTATTCAAAATATTGTTGTGGATTTCGATTGTTTATAATAGTAAATTTGGATTAATTTTTTAATAATATAA